ACTCGGCTGCAGTCTTCATCCATCACCCCTTTTAGCATCTCCTGGGGTGGAAAATGCTGGAGAAACAGCTTTGGGATGTTAGAGATAAAAAGTGTGCATACATTTTAAATACGCATATAAAATGGATTTCAGCGCTCGTCTGAAGCCACAAGGTGATTCTCAAGCTTCAATGTAAACGCTAGAAGAGTTAAAAAACAGCAACAACAACAAGCCCCCCAAAACACAAAAACCAAACCCAAACCTCCTCAACCCAAACCCAACAATTGGAGACAGTTCCCTCAGATGCTTGATTAGTTTTCAGTGAAAATGCTCGCTGTGAAACTTTTCCCTTCCGCGGCAGCAGTTCCCCAGGGCCCCTGGAGGGGGGTGAGGGAGGGACAAGGCTGATGCACGTTGTGTCCATGACTTGTATTTTGCGCTTGACAGACCCCAGAAGAAATAGAAAGACTGACGGTTGACGAGGACCTCGGGGACATCGAAAGGGCTGTTTATCTGCTCAGGTACTCCCGGAAGTCCCCGAGACGCCTGCTCTTGCCCTGGGTGGACTACGCTTTCGGAAATGCCCGCTGCGGTCATGTTCAGATTCACTGCACCGCTGGAGCACAGTCCTTTGGCAGAATTATGTCTTAGCTCTTACTCCCACTTAGATTAAGACTTAGCTGTGGTCTTAGACATTTGCGAACTGAAATCAAATAAGATACCTGACTTAAAGAATACTGCTTGGAGGAGGAGCAGAACTAATGTTTTGAGTTGATCTCATTCTTTTTTTATTTTCCAGCTTTAGTGGTTCTCGCATAGCATCCAATAAGTTTAGATGAGACTCAAGAATATCCAGGGATTAATTTAAGTTACTTGTAGAGTGTGAACCTTCTATACTATTTACGATATAAAAAAAATCTGCAAATATGGTAGTTGTTCATATTACTTTTGCTATGTGAGCTTCATAATAATACTTGAGGGATTTTAAAATTTAATTGCATCTACTCTCATTTAAGTGGCATCTCACAAGCTCTACAGAATTGCTTAAGGCAAATGTTTATTGTAAATATTTACAAGATTTCTCTCAACTATTTTAAAAATTGTGACTTTAGCTTCTTAAAAGCAAATGTGGCCAACATTAATGAACATATCTATACTTAGGGAAGATAAATTTTTCTAAAGTACTTTGTGTACCTTTGTATTACAATTTTTCTTTAATTAGTGCAACTGTTTTTTCCCCCCCTTTAGTAAATTAGTTTTCACTTTAGTTTTTCAGAATCCGATTTTGAAAACTGGTGTTATCTATCTCTGGAATATTTTGCCATCCTTGTTTCCTTAGGTTTGATCTACTTTTCCAGTTTCAGGTGCTGACAAGTTACTTGTTCTTATTTCTTGTGTATAGATTATGTTTCTAGTCCCATGTTATTCATCGAAGGATCATATAAAAATAAATCCCTCTCCATGGCACCCATTATAAAAAATATCCTGTAGTCTATTAGTGGCACCTTGGGTTTCTGTTCTTAGTTTAGTCGAAATTTTAGCATGTTTACAATTTAGAGCATCCTCTCCAGTAATTCTATCACTTTAAAATGTTTCTGGATCTTGGACCTTCTGTTGATGTTACTGGTGGTCTTTGGTAGTGTGCTGTCATCAACTCTACCTGTTTATTTAAAAGAAAACTTTTATTTATGTATACATTAACAATATGTGTTTTGGTGTTTACATAGAGAATACTCCAACATTTAACGTATTTTGATATTTTATTGTTATATTTGAAGTACATTATTCCATGAACATGAACATGTTCATGAACATGTTAGTACATGAACATGTCCAACATGGCAAGCACTTGTCTTTTCCCACAGTTTTTTAATTTATTTTAATTAATTAATTAATTAATTAATTTTTATTGGAGTAGGTAGACAATTGGAAAAAGTTTGGATAAGTTTATTTTTAACATACTGCAGTTCATGATTTGAAATAAGGTCTTACTTACTCCGCCTGAATTCTTTTCTTTGTATAAACGCTGGCTTACAATGAGGAAGTGGAGAGTCTTGTTCTACTTACTTGTGACAGCAGATACCTTATTCTAGATATCAGTGACAAGGCTTCTTTTTTAGGATGGCTTATTTGTGTTCTTATTGTTTGTCACTGAACCAGGTCTTCTGAGTTGTCTGTATTTCTCAAGGCACTGAACATAAGTTTCATCTAGTGCTGGAACTTACAAAGCCCTGATAGAGGCAGCTGGGTCCTCTCATTCTTTAACAGGAGAATTTAAAAAGAGATCTGATATATCTCTCTTAGTTTCTTAGGGCTCATCTACCTTGAAGGAGGTTTGCAAGGTGGCTGAGAAGGCAAACAGTAGTTTGGTTGTGTCTGGGTATCCAGCTGAGTTCTTCCTTTGTATTCTTCACATCTCACCACCTCCTGGGGTTTCACCTTTAGGCCAAGGCAGCCTGAAAGGTTCTTTCATGCCTGGGATTTGGGGGAAGGTTGCCTCTGTTAAAGCCTCATCTGATCTCATGTACTGAGCCTTCTATTTTAAATGTATTTTATTCCTTTAAAAAAATGTTTGTGCTCCCCAATGCTGTAGAACCTAATATTGAGTTCTGTTTTTCTCTCTCTGGTTGTCAGGGTTATTTTTGAGGGCTTTTCCTTTTCCTTTGTATTGGATCTTTATTCTTTTTTGCTCTCTGCTTTTGAATGTCAGATTTATCTTTATAGCTCCATTATTTTGTATATTAAGACTATTTTGGAGTATTATATTAAATTAGAATAAGTGAGTAAACAGCAGTAGGAAATGCTTTACATTAGTAGAGATTTTCATACCACTTAAATTGAATCTAATATTTAAAAAAGCACTATATACAGAGCACTGTCATCCAATGAAAAACAAATCACACTGTTTTTTTTTCTATTTTATTATCTTTTTCTCCCCCCCCCTTTTTTTTTTATTGCTTAAAATATTACAAAGGGTTTTATGTATGTGTCCATTTTTCCCCCCAATCACACTGTTTTTTATCTTACCCTAAAGTGTGGCAGATCAATTATTAATGGTATTTTCACAATTAAGTTTAGAACATTATGGTACTTAAAGATTTGACACAGACAAATTTGCAGTTTTGCATAAATATGATGCTGATATGCCCATCTGTGGCATTTAGCACTGAAGCAAAACAACTTTCCTAGTAGTCACAGCTTGTGGATTAGTCAAAATCATACGGCAACATCTTTTCCCTGTTCTCTCTCTCCTTTGAGATTTTGGCATATATTTTAGGAATGTACTTAAAACATGTGAATTATTTTGCTAGAGAAGAGCCTTTAAGTGTGTATGCTCTGCTTTCATTAGGTAAATCTTGCATACCAGATAAATCGCATACTCTTAAAACGTAGCATAAGTGACTCCATCTTAGCTGTGTAATGTGGTATCCTATTGAACCCTCATTTTGTTTTAATGGCATAATTGAGATGTAATTCATATACAATACAGTTCACCCATTTGAAGTATAGGGTTCATTGGTTTTTAGTATATTCAGAATAGTGTAACCATCACCACAATCAATTTTAGCACATTTTCATCATCCAGTAAGAAAACCTGTACCTATTAGCAGTTCCTCTCCACTGCTTCCCAACCTTCCCAGCCTTTGGGAACCACTACTTATTCTGAACCTTTCATGTAAGTTAAATTATACAATACTAGAGGCCTGATGCATGGACTCATGCACTGGTGGGGTCCTTCAGCCTGGCCTGTGGGGATTGGCCAAAACGGGCAGGTCCTGGAGTGTGAGAGGGCACTCTGCAAAGTTGCTGTTTCTCAGCAGCTCCTGCATTGAGTGTCTGCCCCCTGGTAGTTAGTGCACATCATAGCTACTGGCCAGTCGCTTAGGCTTTTATATATATAGATGTGGCCTTCTGTGATGGACTTATTTTACTTAGCACGTTTTCAAGTTTCTTCCTGTTGTAGCATGTATCAGAACTTTATTTTTTATTGATTATAGTATTATATCATGTGAATAGATCACATTTTGTTAATTCATTCATCAGTTGGTGGATACGTGGGTTGTTTCCTTTCAGTCCTTTGAAGCAGTCAAGGTGGCTTCTTCACTGTTACTTAGACATATTGTTTTCATCCTTACCTTTGCTTTTAGCCATCCTGGGGCACCCTTTCATTCTACCTACCCAGCATTTTCCATCCCCAGGATCCAGATGTAATCTTGCACCTTAGGAAAGGCCTTTCCTGACTGCTGAAACCACCTGGATCCCAGGCTTCTCTGAGTTCCTATATCATTAGTGGCTGCATCCTGAAATTAATTACTACTTTGTATTTCTTAACATGTGTGTATATGTGTGTGTGTGTGTGTATGTGTGTGTGCGTATGTGTGTGTGTTTACATACATTGTCCTTATCAGATTGCAAGCTCATGGAGGATGAGCTATATTTTATGTTGTTGATATTTTGGTTCTTTATTGTACTTTGCTGCAATGTAAATACATACCTCTTAGTAGAATAAAGTGTAGTTGTTTATTTGAAGACTAGAGGTCCAGTGCACGAAATTCGTGCACGGGTGGGGGGTGTCCTCAGCCCAGCCTTCGCCCTCTCTAGTCTGGGGACAAGCCGGGACTGCTGGCTCCTAACCTCTTGCCTGCCAGCCTGATAACCCCCTAACCACTCCCCTGCCAGCCTGATTGATGCCTAACTGCTCCCCAGCTGGCATGATTGTCCCCAACTGCCCTCCCCTACCTGCCCAATCGCCTCCAACTGCCCTCCCCTGCCGGCCTGATCGCCCCCAACTGCTTTCCCCTGTGGGGCTGAGGGGACTGGGGGACTCTGGCTGGATGAGGAGGGGCTGAGAGAACTGGGTGCCGCCATCTTGTGGCAGTGGGTGCTGCCATCTTGTGAGGGGTGACAGTCAATTAGTATATTCCTGCTTTATTGGCTGTGGGCACCACCATCTTATGAGGGTGTGATGGTCAATTAGCATATTCCCTCTTTATTAGGTAGGCTAACCAAAATGTCCGGTGGGTTAAGCCACTTCTGATTTTTTGGTATCATATGCAATAGAATCAGGCAGGTTGTACCATGTACTATCTGTGTGACTATGGCCAAGTTATCATGATTGTTAAGCCCTTGCTTTCTCATCTGTAAATGGAAATAGTAATTTCTGTTCCCTCTGGTTGTTGCACTACGTTTGGAGCCCCTGCCACAGAACAGGTACCTAGTTAATGTTCATTCCCTCTCTCACCTTTCCTTGCTACTTACATGCTCAAGGGAAAGGTCAAACTTTAAAAGAGGATAACAGTATTAATTTTATCTTCCAATAATTTAATAAAGTAATAGACAAGTGAAGTATATCAGCTGAAGTTTATGATACATATCTAACTTTCTTTGCTAGTTGTATTTTATCAGAAACCAGAACCTTCACAAATTATAATTAAGCATTTTAAACTGAGTTATAATTAAGGTCAGCTTGTATTACAGATTTATAGTGTTTTTTGTTTTTTACCAAAAGACCTTAAGCAAT